CAACAGTGCTGACCTTCTTTGTTTGACCCATGCTGATAGCCATCAGGGTTGGCTGTTGGGCTGCATGCTCATGTGTCTGGTGATCACACAGGTGCTTTTCTTCTAGTGCAGGCAATACTTAACTGTGCTCATCCAATATTCTTTTCCTTAGGTTAAAGAATATCCTGGAATAAAAATATTTCAAGCTAATACATCACTTTATTTTGCCAATAGTGAGTCGTATACAGGTGCACTAAAGAAAAAGGTGAGTAAAGAAAATTCTTTAATGTCTATGTCTTGAAAATTCAAACCAGCTTCTGAGATATGCTCATCTTTCAGCCCCTATAGTGTCGCCCCTAGCGCAGTGTTTCTCACCCTGTGGCCCCTGGTGATCAGCAACATAGGAGAAGGCGACCCTCCAGCCAACTGCAAAAATCATCTTAGGAAGCAACAAGATGGTGGGAGGGAATAAACGGACAAAGTGTAGCAAATACTAATAATTAATACGAACCGCTTGCAAAACCACATCTGGTGGTTGCAGAGCACAAACTAGTCAAGCACATTTTTTTTTCAGAAGGAAGTAAGTAGTCGTTGAACTGAAAGCAAAATGTCTGGGAGTAAAAGCTTCCTTCTTGGGTGACAAACTTCACTGGAGTGTAAGACCGTGGAATACTGTGGGAATTTATATGCCTCTCACGAGCAACAAATTACCTGCATACAGAGTATGCCTCACCTCCTGTCTAACGCGTGTTTGACTGGGTGGGAATGGCAATAACAGAACAAGCTGAGGGCAGAACTGCCTGACCCAGAAGCAACTGTACCCTTACTAACTTCTGAAAAATTTTTCTGTAGCTCCCATGATGAGTCTTATACAAAACAGGTGGGTGGTACTTATCTTCACAAAGCAAGAAGTAGTAGTGATTTATGTCCAAGTGCACTTCTCTCTCCTTTGCTCTCTGCACTCGAATCAGCATTCGGCACTCTCTGATTTCAAGGAAAGAATGTGATGCAGCTCTTCCTCATCTTGTTAACACAGTGCTTGCCCAGATTATTCCATCTTACTTTATACTGTTCTCACCGCCACCACGGGAAGCTGAACAACACAGGCTTGTGTTTTAAATTTATGACGGTGATGAATCCAGTGCTAATTGATACTGCAGTGTCATCCGAACAAGCTGAATGTCCTCTGATCATGCTTTCTTTTCATGACAGACTGGAGTAGACCCTTGTGCCATATTAGCAGCAAGGAGAAAAGCCCAGAAGAGGCATGCCAGGGAAATAAAGGCGGCCAGTCAACTCAGGAAGAAAGCTGTGTTGAAACTAGTGAGTTCTTCGGTAAATATTTACCTCTGCCTTAACGGCTATAACATGCTGCTTTCTGGTGTTACCTTCCTTGTTTATACACGGTACAGAGTGCTGCTCAGATAGGGAAGACTTAGGGAGCGAGCACTGTGCAGTGTGGACAGGCTACTGAGGGAGTAGCATAAAGGATCAGAGGCTCATGGCTGGATTGGATAACTGTGTTGAACCTTGATTACGCTCAGGTAGCACATAGCAGAGCAGAGTCTTTCCATGCTGTCATACTGTCTCAGCAGTGGTGTCAGCAGAAATTGGAGGGACCCTACCTCTGCCCCTCTCTGCACACTTGGAATAATCATGCAGAAAGAGGATAATAATAACTGTAATTCAAATTAGCAGCCTCTGGAATAAAAAGGTACCATCCGCACTGCTGATCCTGGTGTGGTTAAGTGAGGCAGGTACATTGAGACGGGTTGTTTGAAACGTGCGTGTGCTTTTGTGCATGTTTAAATTCACCCCCAGGGTGGGAGCTGGTGTGTGCTTTTTACTGTGGGGAACCAACCAAATGCCTAATTTCAGAGCCCGATTGCTGCTTCTGCATATATAGGCCTTGCGAGGGCCAGCAGGGATCAGGCAAGGAAATGGAGTAAAAACATGAACAGGTGTGTCAGCGTTTGAAGGAAATGGGTAATTCCCTCCTGTGATAGCAGCTTTAAGCTGCTTGCGTGTGACTGTAGAAAGGCTGGGCGTAAGAGAATAAACCTTCATATATAGGTAAGATATGGAAGTATGTGTGCATGGAAAGCCAGTTTCTGTAATGGTTAGGAGCTGTACGCCCTTTAAAGGCTGAAAGAAATTAGTATGGGGAGGAAAGGTATCTACACTGGAAAAGCAGTAGCTGTCATTAAGCTTTATTGATCTTCTCTCCCAGACTAACGACGTGGAAGCAGGTGTAAAACACGAGATAGCAAATGACGAGTTACCTGTAAATGGAAAATTTGCATCTGCAGATGCTAGTGTACAAGACACGTCTCCTGATGAGCATGAACACTTCGTGGAACCCAAAACAAACATCCACTCTTTAATTCTGGATTTCGCCCCGGTGAACTTTGTGGATTCTGTTGGAGCAAAAACATTAAAAACTGTAAGTAGGGCTTTTTCCCAAAAAAAAACTGTAGAAAACTTATGAGATACCTCATAGGGAACCTGTCAGCATGAGCCGTAAATGCCAGCTCAGGTACAATCCAGCATCTCACCTAACCACGGCTTTAATTCTTGTAGCTCTGTAAGTTTTAGCTGACTACTGGGGAGCACGGACTGCGCAGCTGTCTCAGTAATTGGCTTACACCTTCCAGATCTGCGAGGCATACAGTGATGTACCTGCGTTTAACTTCAGTTTAACTCTGTTGCAGATTATCAAAGAATACAAAGAAGTTGGTGTCTGTGTCTGTATTGCCAGCTGTAGCGGTGAGTTGGGGGGGTGCGGGGTCAGCACTTACTTCACATAAAATTGGCTTAAAATTGGATTTGGGGAAAACCAAGCCCATATACACTAGAGCCTTCGGTTTAGTGAAAGTAGAGCACTGATGTGATGAGTTGTGTGAGGAGCAGATCCTGCTCCCATTTATTCCAGCTGGCAAATTGTAAATGCCACACCAAACTTTGTATCTTAAAATTGTTGTAATAATGTAATAAGGAGAAAAGCCCGCAATGTTCCACATTTCTGATATTTGGAATTGTAGCATCTTCAGCCAAGAACAGGCCCCTGTGCATGTCTGGGTAAGAGAATTTCCCGCTTGGAGTAGAAGTAGCGTGTGGTCCACCTGGCTGTTTTAAATGTTTTAAGTAATAACAAGTAATAGAACAAATTGTCATCTTCTCCCTGAGATACCACTGTCTTCCATCTTTGTACTTTAATTTATGCACTGATGCCATGTTTGGTTTCTGTTTTGTAGGCCCTGTTATGAGTGAGCTGACAAGACTGAATTTTTTTGATAACACTGTAACGAGAGAGTCGCTGTTTCACAGCGTTCATGACGCTGTCCTTGCTTGCCAAGTGAGAGACGGCTCTGCTTCGCAGACTGACTTTGACCTCTGAAGAGTGGCATCGAGCAGAATGGAAGCCAGATTTATGCTGATGGAGACTCTTTCTGAATATTTAATTTGCACAGTTTAAAGAGAGCCTAAGGCTATTTGTATCTACGGGTATTGGGTGGTGCTTATTTTCTGTAGGAAGAGTGGATAAGGAATTGGAAGCCTTCGTGCTCTTGAATTTTTTCCTTCAATCGGGGTATAGCCTTCCAATGACATACAAGCGCAAAATTACGCAAGACAAGAAAATTCAGTGTATTCTGCTGCAGTTGGAATCTGATAGACAAGGTGACATTCCTATTCCTGTTGAGAAAATGAGCACTTTAACTCACCACAAGGTGGGATCTTGCAGGAAATCACTGTTCTGCAATCACAATGCACTGTACCAGTGTCTTTAAAGAACTTTCTTGGATGACTTTTAAAGCCTGATGTCAACATCTGCGTGCAACAGATTCATATAAATTATAATAATCTGCCAGCTGGATTAATGAATTCACACTGGTGGCATTTAGCTGCTGCTCTTTTTAAACCCGGATGGTACAGTTATTTTTTTAAACTCTGACCTGTCTCAACTACACTGAGCTCTTCATTGCCTGAACATTTTCACTCTCAAATCAGAAACTTGTCATTTAGTCATTATGTTGTCAGTATGGTACTTTCACTGCCAAAGCCTAGTTAATGCTTTCTAGGCAAGAATACAGTGATTTTAAGCTAAAATTAGTTTAGCTTCAAAGTCTGAAGACAAAACTGGTTTAAGGCAGGAGTGAAGCCAATTAAAATTAAATTAAGAACTGATGCCCCCCTATATGCAGTCTCTTTAAGCTGGAATAAAAACACAGACAAGGTCTAAAGTCTCAGCAGTCCAAAAAAAAAATATAAACAAGAAGTACTTTTCTGCTGCCTGAGGTATCTTCCAACCAGCAGTGCTGCTTCTGCCTCAGCTTTCAATTTTTCAAAAATGTTATGTGTTTGGGCTGCTTTTCTCTTGTCTTTGCAACCTGGCCGCTATGGTACCGTTTTAACTTCTGGTGCCAGACAAAAAACACTGAAATGCAATTCAAGCAAAAGCGTAAAACCTTCAATGCCTGTATTTGCCTAATGACAATCACTATGAATCTGAGCAGAAGTAGGAACCTAAAAGTGTCCCTGTAGGTTATTTTGACCGCGTGGAGCGTCAGTGACATTTCACTCGGCACCCTCGTCCTGTGCCTAAGGGAACTCGGAGGACTTCCTCTCTTCCCAGTGCAGAACTTAATACTTTCATTTTGCTTCAAGCTCCTCTGTGATTAGGGCTTGCTTCAGGTCAGCCGAGTTTCCCAAGAACTGGGGGCAGCAGGGGAAGATGTTTTCTTTCCTCAGACTCCCCTGCCACTAGGGGTAGGAAGCTTTCTGCATCAGAAATTGCTGCTTAGCTGGAGTGTGAAGGGTGAATTGGATGCATGTTAACACGGTGTGCGCATTTGTTTAAACAACTTTTGTTACATTTTATAATGTTAACTAGTTTAACAAGGCTTTGTATCTACATACAGTATATTTTTCTACTTTCAGCTTGTCACAGCTTCAGTTTTTAACTACGCAGTCTCTTCAGTTCATGTCAGAATCCTGTCAGCTTCTAAAATAAAGCGATGATCATAACTTGTCAAAATCTTCCACTTTGTCTCGGCGAGACTCTTGTGTGTGTGGGCCCAGCCAGGGGCCCTGGTGGTGGCTGCCCCTGGTTCGGGGGGGTGTGAGCAGGGCCACCACCACCCTGGGGCTGGGGCTCCTACCCTCCCCTTTCCCTGCGGGGCCTCCCTGCCGCGGTTGGTGCCGCACCCTGGGGAGCTGCAGAAACGCTGGGCCCGGAGCCTTTGCCCAAGGGAGGCCTGGGCCCTGGGCTGCGCCCCAGCCTGCGGGGCACGAGCGCTGTGTGGCCGGTGCCTGGTACCGCCTGCGCTGCTGGGAACGAGCTCGCCCGGTGAACTACACCCGGGCAGCTTCTGGCTGGTCTGGTCCTGTGCTTTGCCTCCCCCAGCGGAAGCGCTGCTTCCTAACCACCAGCCAAGGTTACCTATTGAAAACTAAACTGACTTCCTCTTCCCCACACTGATGAACAGACGGCAGTCTGAATATTTAAATCCTTCCTCAGGCTTGTCACCGCTAGATAAAACACACCCACAGTCTTTAAACTCGGAACAGGGCTCATCTTCTTCCCCTCTCCAGTTTGTCTGCACTGGCAGGGTAGTGCCCCGCTGCCTCAGCCACAGAGTCTCAGGCAGCCCTGATGGGGTCATCAGCACAATGTTCCCCTCCCCCCTCCTTTTTTGCCAGAGCACTGATGATAATTCAGGATACCCAGTGAGCTCCAAACTCTTTAGAGATGCGTCACTCACCCTTCTTCAGTAAACGGTACACTCCCAGTGCTGCACTTGGTAACTGGAGAGAGACCCCCTCAGCGCTGCTCTCTGAACCACTTTCTGCTCAGGCTCAAAATGAAAAAATAAAAATTCTGTCCCACCAGTAAACTTGCATCCTTCCCCAAAATGTTCTTCCCAAACCAACGCATAACACTTGAGATCAGTTTTTCAAGCCGGTATGGGCAGAAACACAGGCTTGCCCAAGTTTGCTGATCAAGATACTGACACTGGCCAAAGTCCATGTACAGCCTACACCCTCCCTATTTCTTCAAGCCCTCCCTGCCCCCCAATGCCACACTTGCAAAAGAGACCAGGAAAGGCTGTTGCTTTTCGCTGACCAAACCCTCAGCACTACAGGAACGCACTGGATGAATGAAGCACAACCTTAATTTAATGTCCCCTCCTGCCCACAACTATCAGCTATTGCCCAACTACCCCTACCAGGGTCATCTGCTGGGCCCAGTAACATCTTAAACAAGTGCGATGGTGGATCAAAGCACTCACTGGCAGACTTAGTGGTAAACAATTCTACGGCAGCAATGCTCCGCACGCATGATGAGCTCACACCTACCGCTTGGAATTCATTCTTTTTTATTCATTTATTTCTAGCTTCCAAGAACAAGACAGGAATTACTACGCTTGGATTGTTGTTTCATAGGAAGTTTAACAACAGGAACAGGAAAACTTTGCAAGATGCTAGTTGTAGGTCATGTAGCGGGGGGTAGCACTGAATTTCGCATAGGATTTAATGACTTTGTTCACTGCTTCCAGGAAGTCTTTCTCTGTCGCGATTTTTCGACGTGCTCGGATAGCAAACATGCCTGCCTCCGTGCAGACGCTGCGAATCTCGGCGCCTTTGAAAGAAAGGGATAAATGAATTCAACACCGACCACCGGTGGAGATGAAGCACACACAAAATTGTTTAAAAAAAAAGAAAAAAAAAAATTAAGCCTACCTGTGCTATTAGGACACAGCCGAGCCAACAGCTCAAATCTTATGTCTCTCTCAACACTCATCGAACGAGCGTGTATCTTGAATATGTGAGTTCGCCCCTGGAAAAAGAGTGGAGGATAGGAGTGTTCATGCTACAGAAGAGGTGGTGACTGTCAGTGTGCAGCTGCCCACATCCAGAGCAAGGGCAGATGGAAAATAAACCTTTTCTTTGCTGCCCAACTATAGTTTCCTATGTCTGGACTAGCATGTTTAAGTGTCCGTGGTACTAAATGAAGAAAATAACTTTAAAAAGAGCTTTAATGGCAGAAGTAAGTCAAGAAATCTCCCTCAAAAGAGCCAAACAAAACACGTTCCAACTAAAGAACTAAATCACGGCTCTGGTTAAAGGATTCTTTGCCTGCTGAGTCAGGAACATACAGTGAATACAGCTATTTACCACAGCTTCTCAGACAGGGATGGAATCTGTGCAGTGTGGGAAAACCTTTTTGGTGCATCTTTAATCCCCCAAATTTCCATGTAGTTTCACATAAGTTAAGAGTGCCGCTTCTGTTACTTCTTGTAAACTGACTCCAGAGAACGACGTACTCAGCTGTGAAAGCAAGCCTTCTCACCTCTAGATCAGGCAAGCTGAACTCTATCTTCCTATCCAACCTGCCGGGCCTCATCAGGGCTGGATCCAGCGTGTCAGGCCTGTTGGTAGCCATCAGCACTTTGATGTTGCCTCGTGGGTCAAAACCATCCAACTGGTTGATCAGCTCCAGCATCGTACGTTGCACTTCATTGTCGCCCCCAGCCCTGTCGTCAAAGCGAGCACCTGGAGAGAGGAGACAACGTGTTTCACAGAGTAAGAGAGGGACCTTCAGAGCACGACAGAGGTGTCACAGCTGCTACGTAGAAGATACGAATATTTGTATGTAATTTAAAATAATTTTTCCAGGTGACAAGTTTAAAAACAACACGTTTCAAATGCCACATTTCCAAAAAAGAGGGAGTGGCGTTATCTGCCAGGTACAGTAAGCACTGTATCTTCACCCTTAGTATGAAAGGGCCTGTCTCCCTGCCTAGTAACTGGCCAAGCTGCTGAAATTTATATATTTAGTTTGTTTGGTTGTTTTGCCTCCCCTCAATCAAAATCCCCCCTGCCTTGTCTGTGCAAAAATCGTTCTACTTTCAAAGGAGCTAAGTACAGCCTTTGGGAAAAAAAATCATGTTTTCAGGCAGTAATGAAGATCTAGTCTGCAGTCCAGAAGCTGAAGGGGGTTTAAGTTAACAGTACTTTTTGCAAACACAATACAGATATTCTTCACTAAAGTTTAAATAATCTGGGTGCTCCAAACTTGCAAAGACTTCTCATCTGGGCTACATATGTTCAAATTATATAAACCACTTCTTGACAGCTTCCCGGACACAGGATGTGCTGGTGGTCGTTTTGCTAAACAGGTATTTACAAGCACGTTTCTTGAAAATGCAGCAATCCAGATAAAGAATTACAACATGAAATGTGCTTGTATGAGATTCGAGCTGTACATCCTACAAACATACCTCCGATGGCATCAATTTCATCAAAGAATATAAGACAAGCTTTCTTAGTTCTGGCCATTTCAAAGAGTTCACGAACCATTCGAGCTCCCTGAAAGCAAAAATCAGGATGTTGTTAAAGATTCAAGACACACAAAAGGCAAGTTATCATAATTAAACTTTTCATGCTTCCAAACACTTCTGAGTTTCCAATAATAAAACTCACTTATTTGTACACATACGTATAACAGAACATTCATAAATCTTAAAGCGATTTGTAAAGGAGAGACAATTACTACTCTTAAAGTCAAAAGTACAGAGGAAGTCATTTACCTCAGGGCCAAGTGAAAACTAAGTGGCAGAGCTGGGAACAGAATCCCAATCCTGGAATCCTCCCGAACCACAGGCTGAACTCTGCACTGCAAAATCCATTTAATCAACGGCAGCACAGCTCAGGTCTAATAACTGCCTGCCTGATCTGCAGAGATTTCTCTGATGGTTCCTCCCCTCTCCTTCTACCTCCAGCACGCAAACACTTGCATCCATCACATCCACTACGGTGTCTGGTCCCCACAACTGGAAATTCGCAAATCCACACTCCACCAAGTATTTGCTCTTACCTCTCCCACATACTTCTGCACCAGTTCAGATCCAATTACTCTGATGAAGCAAGCATCAGTCCTGTTAGCAACAGCACGGGCACAAAGTGTTTTGCCTGTCCCAGGTGGCCCAAACAAGAGTACTCCTTTGGGAGGCTCAATTCCAAGGTTAACAAATCTTTCGGGCTGTAATGGCGGGAAACAGAAGGCAAGGTTATGGGCAAATTAAAGATTAGGCGCATCAAAGAGTATATGCAAATTAAGAAAATCATCAGTGAAGAGCAACAGAAACCAGGCTAGGCTGGATTCCACTTGTTAAAACTAGACCTCCTTTCACTTAAGTGTTTACATTCAGCTATGTTATCTTTTCTTGCTTTTTCAAATGCTGACAGATGACCAGAATACTTTCAAAATAATAAAAGCTTCAATCTGGAGGTTACTTACATGAAGCAGAGGGGTTTCAACCACCTCTCTCAGCTTTTCAATCTGCTCTTTACAACCACCAACATCACTGTAAGTGACGTCTGGTTTTTCTTCTACCTGCACAACAAAAAGGTGAGCGAGCAGTTAACAGGCTGATGCTGCATCTCCCTCTAGGCTTTCAAGAGCCCAGAAGAAAATCCAGCCAAAGTAATCGAAATTACAAGACAAAGCAGGGTCATAGTAAGTAAAGGCAGTTCTCACTTGCATCATGGTGACTGTGGGATCAATCTTTGGAGGCAAGGGGATATGGATTTGATACTTATTTCTGTCCACCCTGGTGAGAAAGCATAAAGACTATTATTTTAACACTGATGGATTAAACTGTCACGTAGAAACAACCCTGTAAATTAGACACTGAGTTCTTAAACTGTTCTTTTCTCTGGCATCAAGACAGCCCAGCCCTGAAAGCTAATAGTCAGGTGGGCTAGAAACTGGAATTCCTTCTGCAGAGAAGTTTAAGGTTTCCAAAAATATTAATACCAAAGTATTTTGAAAACTAAGCTTCAAAATATCCCGCAGAGCAAACTGGCAAAGTATTGATTCTAAAAGCAGGCAGTATCGCCTCCTCAGCGAACATTTCCTGTAGCCATTCTGCATGTAACTGTGCAGACTGCCAAAGAGGAAGCAGGGTGCACAGGCCCCCTGAAAGCTGGGACTACCAGGACCCAAACTGAAAGGTTTCAGTCCATGACACACGGTTCTCATCAGAATGACATCAAAATCAAAAGATTCCAGCACAGCAGGCAGATGAGTTACTGTCTACCAACACAGAGACATTAGTGTTATAATTTTAACTACTGCAAAAATATTAAATGATAGATGTTGACCTGTCAAACTAATGGATCAGATGATAAAGTTTCAGTCTCCATGAAAACTTGTAAGATTTTGCTTACCCAACTCTCATGCCTTCTTCTATGTCAGTAGGCGCCACCTGGTCACTGAGATCCACCACGAATTTGGCAAACTGCTTGACATTGATAATGTACTTGGGATCCTCGGAGTCTGCATTGATTATCTTTGTACACCTAATACAGCACATACAATTAACACACCAGGCTGACAAACTAACTAAGCATCCAGATGAGAGGGTCATATTTTCCAAATACACTGAAACAGCTTCTGTACTTGTGATTCTGTTATTATAGCATCCTACAACAACTGCAGGGGTAAGTACAAGTATGAAGCACGCAATACATCATCAAGCATAGCACAGTTCCTTTTTGACACAATGGTAAAAAGCACTTTCAATGCGCACAACATGTGAACCTTATTTTTTAAAAAAAGTCTACACGTAAGCTATAAATCACACTTTTACACTATGCAGCTCCACTGCAAAGAGGATGAGTGCACCCACCTTGCAACCTGCAATGGTTGCTCGCTTTGGAGAGTTTGCTTATCTGCAGCCAGATCCCAAAGGGCGGGAGGAGCCAGGCCGGTGTCGGATTCCTTGATTCCTGTGTACAACACAGACAAGCTGAGGAGGAAGCAGCGAACTGGCACGTTAGCAATCATTCCCATAGCAAGAACCTTACACATAAGCCTTCAGGAAGCTTTCCGAGACCTCTAAAGCACACACATACACCTCTTTGATGGACTTCCTAAAAAACAAGTTTCCTAAAGAAACGAGGCCTATGTGACTGTGCCAGCTAAACATGCAAATACCAGTCTAGCCATCCTCCAATACAATTTTGCAATGTGTGGACGATGACAACGAAGCTTGATGGAGGTATCAGAGATAAGTATATTTTTAAAAGTTTCAGAAAAGGACTGAAACTCTGCAAGTGCTTGCACTGAGGCAAAGCTTTAGTGCAAGATACCAGAAGCTAAGGGATTCACACAGGTGAAAAACCTTAAATGTTCCAAAACATGGATATGAAAAGTACCATCTCCACGATGCATTTGAAAAAATCAAGGATTTTACTGGAAAAGCAAAATTGCGGTCCTCCTGGCAGAACTGAGGGCCACTAGAGGATTAGCCACAGGGCCACAAACATACATCAGTGAAACAAAGAAAGAAAAATCAAATTAATTTTTATTGTCACTGCCATAACTGGCCAGCTGATTTGAAATGCTAACTGCTCTGATACACCTTTCTTCGTTATACGAGGACTGGTACCACAACTTAATGATAATACGCTGGGGTTTTGCAGTTTGTGGAAGTTCACTCGCTATCCAAATGCAGCTTGACACAAATCACAACAAATTAGCTAGTGGCAGAAAGGGCCATTTGTTTCATGCCACTGTAACACATAAAAATTGCAGTTTTGAATAAAAATGTGTTAAACTACAAAATTACATAATCATATGTACAGATTAGCCCTGCCCAATCAAAAAGACCATCACCTACAAAGCAAAAATTTCACATTACCAAATAAAGAAATGTATTATTTTGAGACAAATAACAATAATAAACCAATGCACAAGTTGTTTAAAATCAGCTTCTTAAAACACTCATTTTGGTATATATGTGGCACTTCTATTGAAAGTTATCGTAAGAAAGAAAGATACCGGTGAGCTCATTGATTTTCTTAAGCAGTTGTTGAATATCATCTTCGACTTGTTTGATCTGCCTTGAGTACGTGCTCTGGCCCTGGAAAAGAAATATCACGTAGATTTCCTAACTCAAATTATTTTCTGTTTACGAAGAAGTGCCGATAGCTGCTGAGCATCAAGATGTTCAACAGACTGTCTTGGTATCCCAGCCAACTATTGATCACAGCCAAAAAAGACAGTGCTAAGTTCCAGTGACAATATTTCTGTTCACAAAAACAGAGCGCAGCCACACACAATTGACCAACTGTGCAAGTGGAAATTTTTCATATTTGTACACGTCAACGATTTGTTTTTCTTTTAAACCTGTCCAGCCTTATTTTTTTAAACTATTTTTTTTGCTAAAGTTTAAAAATGACATAGTAAAAATCACATATAAACAGAATTCATCTGTATACATTATTTGAAAATCATCTTTACAAGTGCTTTAACTAGCTTACCCAACCTTTTTACCATTCACGGAAGAAGCAGAAAGATCATGGGGCAAATCAGAAGCTAGATTGTTGCTTGTGATAGAATGCTTTACTATCTTGCCCTGCCCAATACGGGCAGATCTGGATCTGGATTTCCTTTACAACATCTCCTTCGTAGCAACTTGGCAACAAAAAAGCTGCAGAGGGCACAAGCCGTATTTCAGAGCTTCATAAAGGAGTCCTGGTGTAAACAAAATTCAAACTTCTGGCAAACATATCCAAATCCAGACATACGCTAAGCTGCAAGTTTCATTTTCCAAGAGTTCTTTCCCTGACCTGCTCTGCTTTCTGGTGGAGAGGGGAGATTTGCATTTTAAGCCTTATTGTCCGTGGAAAATGCCGCCTGAGATTACATGGTTTTTGACCAGGTCTGTGTATTCCTCACTAACAGTTTTTTTAGCACGATGGCTAAAAGCAAGTAAATTTGATGGGAGAAGGGGTCTTACTGTTCTTTATAATGCAAGAATATAAACTGGTTAGTGAAAAGCCCTAGTAAAGCCCTAGCTGTTAGACCCCTAGAACAATCAGCTACAAGATACAAAACAAAGGAAAAAAAAAGACCTGCATTACTTTCAAGCTAACAAACCTACTGGATTATTTTTAGGGTTGTGGGTTGAGTTTCGGGCTTTCTCATCGGAAGGCAGAGAGGGAGAAAGATTTTGGGAGGAGATAGAAGCACTAGGAGAAGGAGGTTTAATAACTACTTACTAAGTACACATCCACTCTCGCATTGAATTCCTAACAGGACTTGCTTTTTTTCTTTAACACTCTTGCATACGTATGCTACTTACATATGTTTTCAGCAAGGCAATATCTCCTTCATCCAGAGCTGAAACAAGACAGGAAAGACTTAGCTTCCAATTTTAAAAACAACACCAACAGTACCAATTATGCTTTTAAAAGATGAAAACATGCATTTTAAAGGGATTCTTTTGAGTTTCTACTTTTTCACTAAACCAAAGCGGAACAAAAAAGTATCAGACATTAAAGAAAAACAAAATAGGGTTTCCAGCTACTCTCTTCAGTCCAAACAGAGCTCAGAGCAAGCAAGCTACTTAAAACTTTGCCTCATTCAGAGTAGCTTACCAACCTATGACTGTGCAGAGAAGGGACTGAAGATATCGAAACTTCAACTTTTTAACTTTTTGTGTATCTTAACACCTAAGAAAACATCAATGAAAAACTGTCACCACTTTCCACCAGTGATGTGTCCCTTCCAAAACACCCAGTGTGAGCAGGGAACAGCAACCAAATCTAAGCTGGCCTCAGTAACAAGAAACTACCGTAAACTACTAATGCAACCTGGAATCAGTAACAAATACAATGCTGAGTTTTAGTATTGTAAAACAGAAAACGTGCGAACGGTCACACTAGACGAGATAACCGGTTCGGTCCAATATCCCTTCTCCAGCAGCAAGGTCTACGAACCTGGCAAGCACACAGTAAGCTCCAGCTCCCGGGTCACACCTTGGTATTAAAAGCCCTTAAAACAAATTCCTTATGTGAATATTTCTGTCAGTTTTTTGAATCCCTGTAAACAACTTTCAGCAGAATATGCAGGAAGGAATCCCCCAGTTTAAACCAGCACTGTGCTTCCTTTTACTTGACTTAAACTTGGATCTAAAAATTGTACTTGGGTCTCAGAACTAAGAAAAATATAACTCTCTATTGCTGTCATCCCCTATTTACTTCCATATCACTCGTCATTTAACAGACCTTTAACATTCCCTATCCCTTCCCCCAAAGGCTATCTATTCTCCGACTGAACCATAGCCTTCACCGTAAGCATCCCTGACCGCCTGTTTTTCTCTCTTTTCTAATTCCACTGTATCTTTTTCTGATAGAGCAAGCCCAAATCACACAGTATTGCAGGTCTGGGTGCAGCATGTATTATACAGTATTTTGAGAAAGGTTTTCTTCTGTTGATCCTTATTGCTTTTCTGATTATGTGTACTACACCGCTGATTTTTTGATATCTATTAAACACTACATTCTTATAATTTAAAAAACCTTTCCTGAGGGGGAACAGTTCAAACTCCATCACTGACTACATACAGTATCGATTTTGTCTGTAGATGCATTATTTAATATTTAATAGCATGAACTAAAAAGGCAAATGAAATTCAAACACCGTTTGCCACCTCATTCTCTCCTGCTTCCATGGAATTACTCGTGAAAGTGGCAGGATGCAGGGTTTGGCTGCCACCTCTGCAGGACTCCACCAATGAAGGAAAAGAAATTACCCTGTTTTATTAGGCTGATCTTTAACTATTAAACCACATTAAGCCTTTCATTTTACGAAGAGCAGATCAGGCTTTTTAGGAGCTTTTTCTAAGAGAGCCTTAGAGAGCCTTGGGACCAGAGAAGCCAGACTGTACCATGCAGATCTCGGCTACTTCGTGGACCCAATTTTCCTCAGTTTTCCCTCAGAATCTTTTAAAACCAGACCGATGTTTACGTTTAACACCCACCCACCCCCGCTTGCCCGTCAGGGCCGCAGAGGCG